AGAGCCAATCAAATTTGCGAATCTGCACGTGGATCATTCTAGAACCCGATTTCCAAATTTGGTATATTCCCTGACTGTATTTTAGCTTTATTACACTCTTTTTCTTTATCTTTATTTATGACTATAATTCAATTTACTTTTTTTTGGATTAGTATGTTTGGATAATTTGATAATCATATTATTTGGGCCGTGTAAATTATATGAAATTATTATCAAAGTATTTGAGAAGTTTATTTATTATCAATTTAAAAAAAACTTTTAAATATAAGTAACAGATTATATTACAAGGTACTTTCAAATATATTAGAGTAATTTTATACGTGTTGACTTTAAAATCAGGAACATGTATATATATATTAGTATTAGAAAGATTAATTATATTATTACTTATTACTATAAATACTATATAATTTTGAAATTTAATATTATGCAATGTGTACAGACTATAGATAAATAGAAAAGTAGTACATACGTATATATATAAATGCGATACTAGAAATGTTAATGCTATACTATGTCAAAAATAAATATCTGGCTAAAATATAATATAGATAACTTCTTTTTACCAGTATTATACCAATTTTTGGCCAGAATTATGTCAATTTTTGGCCAAAATTATTACAGGGGGACCTGCATGTATATATATATATAATACTATTATATACTCTATTTTTTAGAGTATATACCCTATTTTTGGGGGTAAATACCCTATTTTTTGGGTATATATCTATTTTTTAGAGCATATTATATATCATGTAATCTCTATTTTTAGGGTCTAGGGTTTTTTGTATAACCTAGGCTAAACGGGGTCATATAGGATATGCACTCTTTTTTTGGGTACATACCCCAATTTTTAGAATGCATACCTTAAATTTTAGGGTAGTAGTCACCTATACTGCATTTGAGCTAAATACGTATCTAGTTGCAACTTGTTTTTGTTAAAAATGCTGATATTGTATTCTTTAAAAGTAGTAATATTTAAACAAATTTTGTATATATTAAATTATTAGGTAGTATGCCAAATATGTACCCTATCAATAAGGTGGGTATGTTATAACGTATGTGTGCTAAATTATATAATACATTATATAATACGTATTATGATTTAAGAAATTAAATACAAAAGTTCTTTTATATTAACATAATAAATCATAATGAGCCATCATGTTTTTTAATATCCTCAGAGAGTAGCAACATGATAGCTTAGTGTTTTAATATCTTCAATTTCATCTTCTTGAGTTTTTTTGATAGTTATGCCTAATTTATAAACTCTAAAATATCGACATATATTACTCTGTACCAAGAATTTTCTATTGCATCCAGGTTCAGTGCATATAAAAGGGTTTTTACCAGTATGAGAATAGATATAAATCCTAAATAAACTTGGTCATAAAAATCATTTTGAACAATATTACAAAAAATTATATAATGTTTGTAAATAATAGTCATACAATTTGTCATGCAGATCACAGAATAAATTTTTTACTATGAAATTTGAGTGATTAATATCTATATAATTGATCTATTTTTCATAGTAAATTGCAACAGCAGGCTCTCTTCAAATAGATTTTTCAGAAGTTTTCTAAAAAAAAACTACAATCACGAGATAATGAATAGTACTTTAGTTAAATATACATTTTCTTATTTTTAAATCTAAAGTAAGATAAGTTGCAAAGTTGAAAAAAATTACATCTATAAAGTTGGTCTTTTGTTTTACTTTACATACCATATATTTCCAAAATAAGCTACTCCGAAAATAAGCTACCTTCTTTTTTTGGAAGAAAAACGTAAAAACTTCTATTACCTGAAAATAAGCTACTTATACAATCATTAGTAGTTACTCTATTGTAAAGTCAAAATTTTACTAAATAAATCGATATAGCTTATTAAGTAAAAGTTATTCAAGAGGTCAAAATACATATATTCTAAAAGTTTCATCCAAATTGGATGACTCTTTATTAATAGGTTTTTGCATGTTATGTTTGACGAATTTTTTAAAATTTCTTTAAAATTCATATTCATTGAATGTAAAAATCAAAAGTCAATTAATAAA